ATATTAAATCCCCTTCCCTAAAGCCTAATATGTAGCCCCATAGGAAAGGGGAGGAAAGCTAAGAAGAAACTAGCTATAGATACAGCTTGTTCTCCTGGACTCTATACAACAGAAGGAGAGACCTGGACATTCTTACCTTAGGGGAATGAGTCTCTAGTTGTCTAGAGCCAGCATTGCTTTTTTATGGCTAGACGACACAATTTAGGAACTATAGCCCAGATTTTTAAAGTATTTAGATATTGCTGTCCTCAGCATTGCAATGCCTAACTGATTTAGGAAACTAAGACTCATTTTCCAAAGTACCTAAATCCCTTTTTACAATGAGGCTGTCTTTTGTTTTGTGTTTATATAGCACTTGTCACAATGGGGTCCTGATCTGTGATCAGGGGACTTAGGTGCTATTATAATACATACTAGTTGTACATTGAATCCAAGTAGCTTGTGATCCTTGAAAACAAGCCTCCCTGTTGCAGTTACCATGCTCTGTCATCTCCTCCCTATTATAAGCAGTAAATGCAGGATGGTTTTGCATCTAGCTGATATGTCTACTTTCTGAAGTATTACTAAGGAGCTTCTCCTATTATCTCCTTAATGAGTGGTCCAGGAAGTAAGTTTGTTTCCACTCTTTTCCAGTCTGAGTGGAGCTGTATCAGCTGAAAAATGTAATTGCTCCTTGTAATATTATCTGGCATACATAGATCACCCTTAAAAAGTCAGTATCTACCTAACAGTTATCACACAGCAGGATCTGAGACCACTTATTTCCTATTTTAACAACATGGGGGAAACGTGATGGTTTAGGTAGCAGCGTGTTGTAATTGACAAACTTTGACTCTTTAATGGCAACCACTGCAGTTAGCTGCTATGAGCTTTACTATTAAATTGTATCTCATTGATTTTGCACAACACTTTTGACATATAGTGCCACCTATATAACTCCTCTTCCCCATCTCTCCAACCTTCTCCAGACAATACCCACCAATGTTAGCATTCCACTGGTTTCACTTATTCCCACTAGGTCCCACTTGTCATTATTTAGTACCACTTACAGCACATCTTGCTTATTGCCCCATCAGCCCCGCAAGTTTGTTTACACACCTCTTAATTTTTAATGTTAATCTTTCACTAAAGAACAGTTCCAACTTCTTCCCTTTAATTCACACTAGAACTATTTGCCAGGCATCCAAGCATTAAGAAAAACCTGCCCTTGAGCAAGTTTCTTTCCTAATTAAAAGCCTGTTGAATTAGACACAGCTGTTTTTGAACTTGGAGGCTGGTGTCCCCACTGCTTAAATGGAGATTATTGAGCCGAATCCTCAACTGGTGTAAATTGTGTAGCTCTGTTGAAGTTAATGAAGATTACAAATGCAAACAAATATTTCTCATAAGAGAAGACTAGCCCATGCTCTATCAACTCTATACCAGCGTTTCCCAAATGCAGCCACCAGCGGATTTTTTTGTGGCCATGACAGCCTCCAAAGCATGGACAGAGATTGGAGAAGGGCAAAGCAGCGCCCCCTCCCTGCAGCTCCCAGCTGTTGCTCCTAAATAGCAGTTACCAAGGGCAGCAATATGCGCTGCCTTGGAGTTTGTGCTGGCTAGAGGCAGTTCTTTTCAGTGGAGACAGCTGCAGTATTCAGTCACCAGGGCACTCCCCTGGGCAGCTCCCCACACCTGCCCAGTCAGGGCATGGGGAGCCTGGGACTCCGCAGGTGGCTGGAGAGTTCCCAACCCACCGTCCCCGGGGCAGGCTCTCATCATACCCCTAAAAAACAATAGATGCCTAAGGACCTTTGAAGATCCACTCCACAAACAATTAATAATAATACCTAGATAATAATAATATCTTTCATTAGTGGATCTCAAAGTGCTTGTCAATTGCACATACAAATTGTGTTCAAATGGCCAGGAAGATGCCTAACTGGGCAGTAGCACTTCCAATTACTCAATTGGTATGTGCAGCTGGGGTAACTGGGCATTCACATTAGTGGACAAATCCTTCAAACTCTCCACACTTGGCTTTCCCATTGATTTACATTGTAGTTTTGGGCATAGAAGCCTGGCAAGATCAGGTCCTAAGCGTACAGTTGCACTCAGTTGCATAAATAGGGGAATCTCAAGTAGGAGTAGAGAGGTTATTTTACCTCTATATTTGGCAGTGGTACGGCTGCTGCTGGAATACTGTGTCCAGGCTTGGTGCCCACAACTCAAGAAGGATGTTGGTAAATTGGAGAGGCCTCAGAGAAGAGCTACAAGGATCACAAAACCTGCCTTTTAGTGATAGATTCAAGGAGCTCAATCTGTTTATCTCAGCAAAGAGAAGATAAAGGAGTGGCTTGATTACAGTCTGTAAAAATCTACATGGGGAACAACTATTTAATAATGGGCTTTTCAGTCTAGCAGAGAAAGGTATAACATTATACAATGGCTGGAAGTTGAAGTGAGACAAATTCAAATTGGAAATAAGGGGTACATAGTGCTGGAACTAGAGATGCTGGAACTAGGGGTACATAGGTGCTGCCACATCCCTGGCTTGAAGTGGTTTCCAGCATATACAGGGTTTATAGTTTGGTTCAATGGCTCTCAGCACCCCCACTATACAAATTGTTCCAGTACCCCGGAAGGTGTAAGTTAACCTTTGGAACAATTTACGAAGGGTCCTGGTGGATTCTCCATCACTGACAATTTTTAAAAAGAGATTTTTCTAAAAGATATGACCTAGGAATTATTCTGAGACGTTTTTTGGCCTGTGTTATACAGGAGATAAAACTAGATGATCACAATGGTCCCTTCTGGTCTTAGAATCTATGAAATTCATGTCTTTGCATGCAGTTATTTACTTGCCTTCTTAAGAATCTGTCCTCAAGTGTTTTCATTCTTGTTTGGATTAAAAACTGTTCCCATGTTGGACATTTTGAGTGAAAATTGGCTGCCAGGAAAATGGCCATGGCGATGTGAGAAATTGTAGTTAAAATGTGTTGGGCACTGGTGGTGGTTCTGTTATACTTTTATTTTCATTTCTCTTTTACAGCAAGGATGTCAAAGGTTGTTTTGCCCCATGCTCAGGCCCTAACCCTGCAGTGAGATCCATGCAGGTGGATCCTCATGTCTGTGTGGAGTCCCTTGGATCCATTTGTGTGGCTCCAGTTGCAGGAATGGGGCAGTATTTTTGAAAATTCGTAGTGTTGGCCTAACTCTCCTCCTACTGAAGTCAGTGGGAGCAAAGTTAGGGCAAATCTGAGCACCTTGAAAACCCCTTCCTTTATTGTATTCTTCAGGCCCATGTGAACCAGTCCTTACTCTGTTAGATAAATAACTCTTTGTTTCAAACATTAAAAACAAAGGAGTCCTCATTTGTAAATCTATCCTGTTACGTTATCACTGCCATATTGATCTAAAATGGAAATTCTCTAAAACTAAATGCAAATTACAGATTAGTACAGAGACTGATTCTTCATTGTGTTACTCCAGTTATACATCAGCACAGTTCCATTGAAATTGACTGAGTTACACCCATATAAAACAAGAGTAAAGCAGTGGTGAATCAGTCCCATAAGATATAAATTGTGTGCATGGAGGAAAGGCAATATTGTACTTTAAAATTTGGCTATTTGGCAATGAGTTCCTCTGAAACTATAGAGGGTCATTAATATTACATCTCATTTAGTAGATCTCAAAGCACTTTATGGAAAAAGTGTATTGCGAAGTGTTTATATAGACAACTAATATTTACTTAAATGGAAGTCCTGCTAATTTCGGGCATGCCAAATGTGACATGAGATAGTTACGCTGCTATTGATATAAATCCTTCATTAGCCTATTGCTGTTTTTGCATAATTATGCATTTCATTTATAAAAATATTTATAATAAAAAAAATTTATAAAAATAATTTCATATAGACTACACCCGATGATCACCTTCTAAATAATTTGATATTACTAATTTATTACAGGTTTTTATTTTTGTGGCAATAGAGGCAACCTTTCTTTGGATTTAATACATAGATTATGAATCATAGAATCATAGAATATCAGGGTTGGAAGGGACCCCTGAAGGTCATCTAGTCCAACCCCCTGCTCGAAGCAGGACCAATTCCCAGTTAAATCATCCCAGCCAGGGCTTTGTCAAGCCTGACCTTAAAAACCTCTAAGGAAGGAGATTCTACCACCTCCCTAGGTAACGCATTCCAGTGTTTCACCACCCTCTTAGTGAAAAAGTTTTTCCTAATATCCAATCTAAACCTCCCTCACTGCAACTTGAGACCATTACTCCTCGTTCTGTCATCTGCTACCATTGAGAACAGTCTAGAGCCATCCTCTTTGGAACCCCCTTTCAGGTAGTTGAAAGCAGCTATCAAATCCCCCCTCATTCTTCTCTTCTGCAGGCTAAACAATGCCAGCTCCCTCAGCCTCTCCTCATAAGTCATGTGTTCTAGACCCCTAATCATTTTTGTTGCCCTTCGCTGGACTCTCTCCAATTTATCCACATCCTTCTTGTAGTGTGGGGCCCAAAACTGTACACAGTACTCCAGATGAGGCCTCACCAATGTTGAATAGAGGGGAACGATCACGTCCCTCGATCTGCTCGTTATGCCCCTACTTATACATCCCAAAATGCCATTGGCCTTCTTGGCAACAAGGGCACACTGCTGACTCATATCCAGCTTCTCGTCCACTGTCACCCCTAGGTCCTTTTCCGCAGAACTGCTGCCTAGCCATTCGGTCCCTAGTCTGTAGCGGTGCATTGGATTCTTCCATCCTAAGTGCAGGACCCTGCACTTATCCTTATGAGTAGTCAGCTATAATGTTAAGGATAGTATTTATATGTTGTTTAGTTCCCTTCATACATTTTCGGAACCAACACCCTTTTCCAACGTGCATATGTAAGTTTAAAGCCCACTACAGGTTGTACTCAAAACTGCTAGGTAGATAAATGAGGATTTTGCCATCTAATTCTAAAGAAAATGCCCCTCAGACATAATTAAATGTGCTCTCTCTCAGTTGAAGCCAAATGAATAATTCATGGGGTTTAGGCATAATCAGGCTATGTGCTTTGTGAGATTCTCAGACGTGCAAAGGTTAATTCTTTTGTTTAAAAAAATAGCTCAGATGGTTCTATCCCCAACAGAAAAATGCAGGTTGCCTAGGATACCATATTAAACGGGCAGAAAGGTTCAGGATGTGTAGACATCCCTTTACATGAAATCAAATACATTCCAAAACTTATTTAATACAATATGCTTATTTATATACAAAAAGACTTGTCTGATCAAGTCTTCTTTTAATTTTTCAAGAAAATAACAATACAAAAAGGGAGAGGAATGGGGAGACTAGAGCAGAATGAAGGTGAAGAAATGTAGCCAGCGGGAGAAGGAAAGAGAAAAAGGTAAGAAAAAGGAAAAAAGAATTAGATGCTTAGGAGGTATAAAGAAACCTGATGTAGACAAAGGTGAATTACACTGATCTGTCAGTACACATATATGTTACACATAAGGATTACAAGTTCTGATATCAATTTCCTTTTGCTGTGTATAGCCAGAAATGCCATCCAGGTGTTTTCAAAATGCTGGAGTTTATTCTGCCATTTGTTGTAGGCTTGTCTCTCCTAAGCCACCAGATCACACAGTTCAATATATCAGCTCTCTCCATGTGGTGCTGCAGCAGCCACCTATCACTGCAAAATCATTTCCTTGGCTATCAGAGAAGAATTCCTGCCTCTCTTCCAAATCAAACGGCCCTAGAGGTCTAGATCCTGATTTTCAGCCGGAGTAAATCATATAGGGAGAAATTCTCTTCTGTTGCTCCAATCACTTTTGTGCTGCTCATGCCCTAATTGACCAGCAGAAAATTCCTCCGGCATAGGCATAGCCCCTACATCAATTGTTCCCTCATCCTGCTGTGGAGGGCTTGAGGGGGTGGGGTGAACCATGCCTCCATTTGGCCAGTTCTTAAATGGTATATAGTCTCTTAGCGACTGTAATCAGTTGTCATAAATTAAAGCAGCCCCTATGCTGCTCTAATTTATGGCATCGCCAGGGTAGTTTAAGAATCAGGGAGTCCTGTTATCTCCTCCACCTCCTTCTAGAACTCAATGTGTCTTGGCACAGCAGAGAGTCTTGGACATCTTTTGTTCTTTGCTTGTACTTATATCACTCTGCATTTGCTCTGTTTAAAATCTGTGACTCTGTAGCTCTTATTTACTCTAGAAAGCCTTTGGGGGCTAGAGTTTATATGAAGGATGCAAAATAAATGTATTGTAGATAGTTGATGCATAAGAGTTGATTAGACTTACTCTCCTAATAAGAAAGTTTTCCAGAAGAGACTCATCTAGTAACCCCCTATACTAGTGCTACTAGTGATGTAAGAGCATGAGTCCCATTGAAAAATGATTGGTTAACCACCTGAGTGCTGATTCTTCTCCCATTAAAGTGAATGGGATGTGTGCCACTAAATTCAATGGGAGCTGCTGCAGGCTGTAAACATTTGTTGTTTTATAATCTAGAAACTTCACTGCAAATATTTGGACTGAAGACAGAAAAAAACCTATCCTGCAACTGGCTTTATGCGGCTGGATCAGCAAGTATGGAGCTAACTGGGGCCCCAGTGAGGAAGAAAAAAAGCTATACCATTTTTTAAAATTGAATTAAAATCCTTTTTGATTCGAGGGACTTCACAAATGATTTTCCTTTTCCTACTAGTAAGCAGAATAAAGATGCACTAATGGAAGGTATGATTCTGCACTCTTATTCTGAAAAAGTAGTCTCTTGGGGTAACTCTTAGAGTAAGGCACTACCAAACATGCCTAAGGGTGGCAAAATCAGTAACAATTCTCAAAAGTAAAACTGTAGTCACTGGATTTGCTGGATTCTTGGAAGTACAGTTGCCTCCCAACATTTAGACACTGGGCTGGAAATGAGAAAAACTCCTGTGTTATGCTATGGGTTCAAACTGGCAAGGTGCTGAGTATCTTTAAATGGGCCCTATATTGTTCTCCTCATGTTATTTATTTCTATCAGGTGTTATAGGATGCAAGTATCATTTAATTGCGTAACTGGAACTGTAAAGAGAGGCTGTGATTGAGCACATGATTTTAGTCATCCACAATCTGACCAACAAGGAGGAACGGTTAGAGACTGTGAAGGTAATTTGAGTGACAGTGATCACCCAAGAATTCTAAGGAAAGGAAGGAGTGAGAGCAGCAGAATAAGGTAATGGACTTCAAAAAAGCAGACTTTAACAAACTCAGAGAACGGATATGTAAGGTCCCATGAGAAGAAAATCAAATGGAAAAAGGAGCTCAGGAGAGCTGACAGTTCCTCAAGGAGACAATATGCACAACTGTGCAGAAAGGCACAACTGCAAACTATTCTGATATACAAAGAAAGGACAGGAAGAATAGTAAGAGGCCAAGATAGCTCCATCAGGAGCTCTTCTATGACCTGAAGATCAAAAGGGAATTCTACAAAAATGTGAACCTGGTTAAATTGGTAAGGAGGAGTACAAAAGAACAGTATAAGTAATTAGGGACAAAATCAGAAAGGCTGAGGCAAAAAGTGAGTTATACATGGCAAGAGACATAAAAGGCAATAAGAAGAGGTTCTATAAATACTTTAGGAGCAAGAGAAAAACAAAGGGAAGTGTAAGTATTCTACTTAGTGGAGAAAGAGAGCTAATAATGGATGGCAACAAGCAGGTTGAGGTGATTAATGCCTATTTTGTTTCAATCTTCACTAAAATAGGTTAATGATCACAAGATACTCAGCATAATTAATGACGACAACCAGGGGAAGGAATGCAAGCCAAAATAGGGAAAGAACAGATTAAGGAATATTTAAATAAATTAGCAGGGCCTGATGAAATTCATCCTAGAGTACATAAAGAACTAGCTCAGAGCCATTAGCAATTATCTTTGAGAACTCCTGGAGGATGGGAGAGGTCACAGAAGACTGGAGAAAGGTATGATGTTTGCCTATCATTAAAAAGAGGAACAAGGAGGACCCAGGGAATTATAGACCAGTCAGCCTAACTTCAATACCTGTAATGACCCTGCAGCAAATTATTAAACAATCAATTTTAAGCACCTAGAAGAAACACGGTTATAAGGAATAGTCAGCATGGATTTGTCAAGAATTAATCATGTCAAACCATCTTAATTTCCTTCTTTGATATGACTGACCTAGTGTGTGTGTGGGGGGGGGAAGCAGTAGACATTGTATACCTTGATTTTTTGTAAGGCTTTTGACACAGTTCTCCATGACATTCTCACGAGCAAACTGTGGAAATGTGGTCTAGATGAATTTACTATAAGGTGGATGTATAACTGGCTGAAGGACCATGCTCAAAGAGTAGTTATCGACGGTTTGATGTCGAATTGGGTGGGCATACCTAGTGGGCCCTCCAGAGGTCAGTCCTGGGTCCACTACTATTCAATATTTTCATTAATTACTTGGATAATGAAGTAGAGAATATGCTTACAAAATTTGCAGATGATACCAATCTGGGAAGGGTTGCAATCGCTTTGGAGGATGGGTTTAAAATTCAAAATGTCCTTGACAAATTGGAGAATTGGTCTGAATTCAAAGATGAAATTCAATAAAGACAAGTCAAAGTACTTTACTTAGGAAGGAAAAATCAAATGCACAACTACAAAATGCGGAATAACTGGCTAGGTGGTAGTACTGCTAAAAAAGATCTCGGGGGTCACAGTAGACCACAAACTGAATATGAGTTGTCAATGTGATTCAGCTGCAAAAAAGGCTAATATGACTCTGTGGTGTATTAACAGGGGTGCTGTATGGAAGATACAGGAGGTAATTGTCCCACTTTCCTCAGCACTGGTGAGGATCCAGCTGGAGTACTGTGTCCAATTCTGGGCACAAGATGGATGTGGACATATTGGGAAGAGTCCGGAGGAGACCAACAAAATGATAAAAGGTTTAGTAAACTGTCCTGTAAGGAAAGGTTGAAGAAACTGGGCATATTTAGTCTTGAGAAAAGAAGACTGAGGGGTGACTGATAAGTTTCCAATATAACAGCTCTTATAAAGAGGATAGTGATCAGTTGTTCTTCATGTCCACCAAAGGTCAACAAGAAGTTATGGTCTTAATCTGCAGCTAGGGAAATTTAGGTTACATATTAGGAAAAACTTTCAAACTACAAGGATAGTTAAGCTCTGGAATAGGCTTCCAAGGGTGGTCGTGGAGTCCCACCATTGGAAGCTTTTAAAAACAAATTGGACAAAAACCTGTCAAGGATGTCTAGGTTTACTTGGTCCTGTCACAGTGTATGGGACTGGACTTGATGACTTCTTGAGGTCCTTTCCAGCCCTACATTTCTATGATTTACTGACAAATACAAAAAAAAATTAGAATTGGATAAATTATATTTATTTTTAGTTATCCTGTTCAGTACTTTGCTTGTGTGTCCATCCACCATTTACTTTTATTACATAACTTGAAACCTCAGAACGCTCTCACTACATTTTTGTTTATATATTTCTTGCAAATTGAAGAGAACTCCTTCCAAGTGTCCACGATACATTGCTTCAATTCATTTTTGTGCTTGTAGGTTTTTTTAGTTACTGCTTTCCTCAATTCACTCCATATTCCTGTATTTGTTTCAAACGAGATGTCTGTGATGACCAAGGCAGAAATCACTTGAAGCCAAATTCACTCATGGTGTAAGGCTAGTGTAGTCAATCGTATTACACCAGCAATGAAGAACTTGGCATATGATCCTTTCCTTCAAGGTCTGAGAGTTTTTTCAATATGTATATTGGGATTTTTTCTACTGAAAACTAAAGTCTTCCGACATTCCTTCCTCTTGGGATAATATTGACGAAGTATCTTAGGTAGGGGTAGGTGATAGAATACATTTTCTGTTTTTCGCTTTTGATAACTTAAATAGTAGAAAAAAGTAATTTTCATTGACAATATATTTAATGCACTTCTGTAATTAAAGTGACCATAGGCCCCAATCTTACAACCCTGGTTTTTCATATTGTCTCATGGGAACTTCTTTTTAGACACTTGAAATGTTCCTATTTTTCATTTCATCACTGAAAATGCTTTGTCAGCTCATAACTACAAACTGTTGTTTCAAGATATATTGCTCTACTGAGTAGAAATTGCTCTGGGTTTACTAGGAACAAACAGTCCAGTGGAACAAGTGATCAGTGCACTGAACAGTGTTTTGGATTGAAGAGCAAAGCCAAATGAGTTTAGCCACTACCAAAGATGTTCTTCTGCTCAAAGTGAATGTTAACAACACTTGTTCAGTGTTGCTTGATTAAGTCATTTAAACCACTTTTTGAGGCAGGAGGAGAAATCCTCCACTTTGGGAAATATGTTTGTATTGGTGCAGAGTCAGAAACTGGCAGATGTGTTGCTAGCACATATCTCAAAAATAATGTACGTACTTTTGTCTCTTGTATATTTTATGACCTAAAAAAGTTGCCACAAAAGTGTCCAGGATTTTGATGTAGAAAATATGAGGTTGATGCTGAAATATCTAAATTGACACTAATGAAATGCAGCTGCCCAACTGTAATAAATGAAGGGAGGGGGTAGCTCCCTTTTATGGACCCAGCCAGCCAGTAACTATAAAATCCCTCTTAGTAGCTGTTCTCTAATTGCTCTACCTGTAAAGGGTTAAAAAGTCTCACTGCTATGCATAGGTAAAAGGAAGTGAGTGGGCACGTGGCCAAAAGAGCCAATGGGAAGGCTAGAATTTTTAAATATTGAACAAAGACTCCCCTTTTGTCTGTCTGTTGTTGTTCTTCAATGGAAAGGCAGACAGGGCAGCAACTATGCTGTAAGAAGGTTGGGGCCAGGTATGAAAAATCATCGGTATCATACCTAGAAACTACTCATTTGAAATCCCAGATATATAAATAGATTAGGAAATGTCTAGGAAGACACGATTTGTTTTAGCTCTTTTTATTTCTTTATGGCCTGTGGACTCCTCTGTGCTAACCCCAGGTGCTTTTGTTTTGCTTGTAACCTTTAAGCTGAACCTCATGAAAGCTATTCTTGGTGCTTAATCCTTGTAATTGCTCTTTTAAAATCTAGCAATAGCCTGAGTTCCCAGATGTATTTTCTTTCTTTTTTTTTATTAATAAAATTTACCTTTGTTAAGAACAGAATTGGATTTCTGTGTCTTGTGCAGGTTGTTAATTAGCTGGTAGCAACAGCTGATTTCCCTTTTTTCTTTCTCAGCTCTTCCCTGGAGGGGGGGTGAAAGGGCTTGAGGGTACCCCACAGGAAGGAATTCCCAAGTGCGCCTTCCTGGGCTCTCAGAGAGGTTCTGCACTTGGGTAGTGGCAGCATCTACCCATCCAAGGTCAGAGAAAAGCTGCAACCTTGGAAGTTTAATACAAGTCTGGAGAGTGGCCAGTATTAATTTTTAGAATCCTTGTGTGCCCTCACCTTCTGCACTCGAAGTGCCAGAGTGGCGAATTAGCCTTGACACCAACACTGTTAAAAGATTATAGCACCACACTATGGGCCTGGTCCTGAGTGGGGCTGAGTATTTGTCAGTCTCACTGAAGTGAACAATTGCTATTCCTGTATTTTTGCTTGTATAAATGTTGACCTTGGTGAGACAATAGTTTGGCTCACAGCCTCTGAGAGTCATATGATGTTATGCAATTAATGAATTGTGCCTTCTGCTATACATTCCAGGAGCTAGATCACTTAATTTTGTTGCATGTTCTTTATCCTTTATATTGCAGCATTGCCTGTAGGCCTCAATCAGGTCTGGCCCCCTTGGACTAGGTGCTGTATAACTGTTTAGCAAATGACAGTAGCTGCCCAAAGAGCTCACAGTCTAAAAGGCAAGAAATGACAAGTGAATTAAACAAACACGAGGGGCAGGGAGAGAGGAAGGAGTGAGGATGATGGGGCAACAAATAGATTCAAAATACTTTTTTATTTAAAAAGTCTCATAACACTTTGAGGCACTGTGAAAATGAAAATTAAAGTAATTTTACGATGGATGAACAAGGCACACAGTAGGTAAAAATTGCTGAAGGTCACCAACTGAATGTGTAGCAGAGTCAAGACTAGAACCCAGAAGTCCTAACTCCAGTTCCTTATGCTAACCCTTCTGTTCAGTGACACCTAGAGAATGTGGAAATATTTGGAATTATTTTTAAAGAGCGTGAACAATTTTTTCCATGTCTGCATGTTTGTGTCTACATCTCCCATGTCACTTCTTCCCATAATTCCCCTGCAGAGCTGAGTGTGGTCCTTCAGAGTGTTTTTTCTCATTATTAATCATTTTCATATCTGAGCTGAAATATTATAGTTTAAGGGCCTGATGCCTTATTGTTGCTTACCACATTTTCATGAGTAACTGCATTTTTCTTCTGCCACAGCACTTGGTGGTAATAAATAATATACAGAATACTTTGAGTTGTCAGATACCCCAAAGCATTGTGAGAAATCATTTACTGCTTTGTGTGTGCTCTATTATAGTTTTTTGTAGCAGAGGTGAAACAGTAGGAAGGGCTGGAGAGCAAAACTTTCTTTCCCATTACTTGTACATTGACTAACATTAGCATAATACTTTGAAAAAAGGGTAGAAATTACAGCAAATAAAAATACCATGTAATCAGTTAATGCAATCTTAGGCTGAGATGATAATAACTGAAAGAATTCAAAGCCTCAAAATATTGCTTCCCTGCATTATCCTAGGCTTTCAAATCAGTAGACATGCACTACAAATGAGCACACAGGCAGGGAATGTCTTTTTAGCTTGCTCCTGGAGAGCAGTGTTACATTTTCCTCTTTTATATCACATTTTTCTCTGTCTCGGAGGAGAAAGGATAGAGATTTTTGTAAAAACTTATGAAGCTTTAGTGTTACAGGGTGGGGGGGAAGAATTATATGAACTTAAACTCCTCACTTGGAAGGGGGAAATAGACTGCAGTCTATTTCCCAACTTTTCAATTAGTGATTCAGAAAGGAATGTCACAGTTACCACTGTTCCTAATTTTAGTGTATAGATTATGTCCAAAAAAATTTGCTAAAAGAATGTAAGGGTTGCAAAGTGGAGTACTCAATAGTTCAAAAATGCCAGAATTACTGATGCCCATGGAACCTTAATTTGACTTCCTTATAAGCATATGACAGTACTTAGTTACATGATCATACTCTGTTTTTTCCACAAGTCCCCTGACTTGTTCACTGAATGAGTATGTGATGGGCTATGTACCCCACAGTTAATGAAAGAGTATACCAGAAACAGAGCAATTAGCATACCTGGATGTGGACTGGGCCCCACTGAAGATGAAGCCCAACCGAGGGAGCAGCTGGGCGGTGAGCATCAAGGGAGGAGGCTGCAGGGAGAAAGGAAAAACTCTGTGGTCCCTCTCTGGTTGGTAGAGAGTGAAGGAAAGGTCAATGTACAGTAAGCCTAGGGAGGAGATGTGCGTAAGGTCCTAAAGGAAGGCCAGGGTAGGAAGAAGTCTAGGAAGGCATTGAGGAGTCTAAGGGAGCAGATTTAGATGCTTGCCCCAGCATCCCTGGACTGGAACCCACTAGAGGGAAGGCTGTGATCCTCTGCTGGCCCACTGAAAAGGTGGTGTGGAAACACCTTGGTGCATGAGGGAGAAGGGCTGCTGAGTTTGGGCACCCAAGGAGAAAGCCTTGGAAGTGTTGCTCCCCATAAGAGCACGAGGGCAGTCCTTCAGGATCCAGGAAGGTGTGAAGAGTCTGGGTAGGGGCAAAGAGTTTTGTTTATCTGAGTTTAGTTTATTTGACTGTTTCCCTGGAAGGGGTAAGACTAAATGTGACCTGGCCAGAGCCTGAGTTACAAGAAGAGGCAGACCACCACAGGGCTGGAGCGGCTGTTGGTAGAGGCACTAGAGAAGGAGAGCGTGTTGTGCTGAGGCTGGCCGTGAGAGACTGTGTCAGTAGTGAGTCTACTCATCTACAGAGTAGTTATGCAATATTTCCTATCCTCCTCATTCTGTCTGTGGTTCCAGGCCTCATTTATCTCACACCATTCTCCATATCACATGAAAACAGATTAACTTCCCAGTGCCTATGATGTTCTGACTATAGACTTTGAGTGCTTGTCATAAATATAAAGGGAAGGGTAAACCCCTTTAAAATCCCTACTGGCCAGAGGAAAAATCCTCTTACCTGTAAAGGGTTAAGAAGCTAAAGGTAACCTCAGTGGCACCTGACCAAAATGACCAATGAGGAGACAAGATACTTTCAAAAGCTGGGAGGAGGG